AAGTGAAAAATTTCATTTTTCTTCTCCTTGTCCTGCAAGTTGTAGTTTAATCTTCTAGGTGCTAACCTTTTGTAAAACAGATGAGCTAGTTTAGAAACTGTAAAGGGAGTGGATGCTTCTTAGTGCACACTTCAGATAAAATTGGGATTTGTGGATGAATGAATAAAAAAATGAGGCCATTGGGTCATAACTGAATTATTGTTGTCTCTAGGTAGATCTCCACCTTCTATGAAATTGAGAATGATCACTCTGCTGAACATGTCATCACATAAAAATCAGCTAACAGTTTCAAAAAGTTTTTATATTAGGATAAATGACTCAATCTCCTACAGCAGGATGGATTTTAACAGCTTCAAACAAGTTCTCCACCTGCTGCAACAAGACACATAACTCAATCTCCTACTACAGATTGGACATCTAACAGTTTCAAGAAAGTTCTCATTACGATATAAGATTCCATCTGCTGCAACCAAGGTTTCCATGGCTTATAATTACCAGACTGCTCTTTCCACAAATATCTCTTAAAGATATTCCATATACTGATGCTCCATGAAATACCTGATCAGTGGTGAAATGTTAAGTTCTTCAAGATTGGAAATATGCTCATGGTGTGGTGCACCATAACAAGCTTCCAGGTCTAAGTTATTCTAAAAAATGTATAATTATAGACCACAGCAAAGTGATATGCTTGTGAAACAGATGACTCAATATTTGTCTTGTGTGTTTGGCTTGCATATGGTCATATTTCATTTTTCTAGTTGTAGCTTCAAAGTTCTCATTAAACTCCTGTTTCTTTTCTTTGTTCTTTGAGTAGATATATAAAACTGGAAGAATTAATTGCTGGAGATTACAGTTGATGAAATAGTGAAAGTTTTACGGAGAAAACTGAAACAGCCACTTCCAGCGACACAGTAAGTTCAAATACGTTAACTGACTGTAATGAGTCAAGAAACCTGTTTACTATTGTAGACAATTAAGAATCCACATTTGAAACAAGCTCTTTCATGAATGACAAGACAATTGGAAACAATTAATTAAAGAAAGGGAGAGACATTTGTGGCAATTTATTCACCCAATTTCTTAGAGTGGTCATTTTGCATTTGTTTCTGGTAAAGCTTTCTTGACATGATCTTTCAACGATGAGTCCATGAAAACAAGCATCAGAAATCACACTAAACATGTTTTGAATATCATAAGGTTTGGAGTGTAAAAGTTTTAGTATATTATCAACGCAACAGGTGCAAAATGCAGGAAGCTGCTTTCACCGAATTAGTTTGAACCTCACAGTACTCTCATGATATAAAAGACTGTTTAGTTTAGATATTGATTAATTTATTTTTGTGAGTGAATATTTTATTATTGTTTAGTTT